AAATAAGTTAATATACGCGTAAAAATCCGTAAAACTAGTTTCATTTAAATGTGAAGTGAACGCGTAAATATAAGAAATCATTATAATTATTCATTCGGTCTTATCCGTTTTTTTAAACACCTGTAAATATGAACATTACGTCAAAATTTGGACAGTAATTATTATATTTAGATTTAACTTGTTTGTCAAGCAATATCTTTAAATTTTTCACACAAGATAAAGAATAAATAAATAATTATGACTGTTTCAATTATTTTCATTGCTAAATGAATGTGGTGCCCTATACAAAAGCATATTTACATTCAGGTAATCATATAACCATTACACATATACACCATAGAATAGAATAGAATATGCTTTATTAAGTAGACCAATTATTTAAAACAAGTTTAAAAAAATTGTAAAATTATAATTACAGTAACAAAAATATTGTGCAGTTCGACTCCACTCTCCTAGTCCAAGCGAAGAGCCTCGGTCGTAAAATTTTATTGTTTTTTGTACGTTGCTTTGTGAATACAACTTTAAGCATATCACTTAAGATTGAATTTACATTAATGTATATTTATATAAACTAGAATTACGTCAAAACATTTGGCGACAGTTTTTAGAGAACTTTTGTATGGGATTGTGCATCTAGTTTTTTATTAGTGATCGATGGTGTGTGCTTATAATAATGTAACCTTCTTGTAAAAATAACAACTTCCAACTCGATGGACGTCAATGGAAAGCTAAGCCGATTCTTTTTCTGTCCCATATAAATTTGACCCATATAAGTCTGACCAATGGTTTTGAGTTATCTATACAAATAAATAAAATTGAAGTGTCTGTTTGTAATGTCAAAATTACAGCTTTTTACTAATCGAATGTGAAAGTATATACGGTACTTATAACAAAAACACAATTTTTTAAAGTTTTGTCTGTCTGTCTGTCTGTTTGTTCCGGCTAATCTCCGAAACGGCTGGACCGATTTTGATAGGACTTTCACTGGCAGGTAGCTGATTTCATAAGGAGTAACTTAGGCTACTTTTATATTAAAAAAATAACGCGAGCGAAGTCGCGGGGTACAGCTAGTCCTTAATAATTTTGATTAAAGTCAGTTGTACAAAATTTTTATTTTTAAATTATTTTCAATAGCTCGCTCAACTCTTTATCAACAGAGGAACAGATTGAAAGGTACTTCTTTCTCAAAATTACAATTTCTTTTATTTCTTTCTATTTTCCTCAATCAATTGGCAAAAATATGTAACAAATGAACTAGATATTTGTGAACTTCTTCCAATTTTTTTAATTTCTGTTTTACACTACATTGTTTTTTAATTTCTTTTATTTCATTAATTATAAACAACAATGACAATTTTTTTGCGCCCAATGCAAGGCTACCCTCCGGAAGCGGGGGAGGGAGGTGGTGAATGCTCATAGCATAACACGCAGCCGGTTGTGTGGTTGTATGGGACTCACTAAGAAGTTCCTACCTACTAAACACCCCCTGTGGGCCTGGTTCTGGCTTGTATAGCCTCTTTGCCGCATCGTAAGCGACCCCCTTAGAGAAGGGAGGCGCGGAGCACAACCGTACGGGGACGAGAGCGCGGGTCAACTAACACAGCCGCACGGGGGCGGCGGTGCTAGAGGAGTGAAGATGTGGGAGTCGCATGAGCGAGATAGCACTCACCATACGGGAACGGTGAGCACGGACAGCTAACGAAACCACACGAGTGTGGCGGCGCTAGCGGAGGTGGGCAGGGAACGGAAAGCACTCATCGTATGGCGACGGTGAGCGCGGACACCTAACACAACCGCACGGGAGCGGCGGCGCTAGCGGAGGTGGGAAGGCACTCACCGTACGGGAATGGTGAGCGCGGGCACCTAACACAACCGCACGAGGGCGGCGGCGCTAGCAAAAACGGAAGGGCGCACTCACCATACGGGGACGGTGAGCGCGGACAACTAACACAACCACACGGGAGCGCTGGCGCTAGCTGCGGTGGGACGGGACGGGACTGACGTTTTATTCCTCGACTGAATTGACTGAAGAATTCCCGTACGGGGACGGGTGCTCAGTCAGCTAGCGGTCTCCACTAGCGCACGGCCGCACGGGGTGAAGGCGCAAGCGGAATGTTGTTTTTTTTTTATTCATCTAATTCTAAGCTATTAAATACATGTGCAAAAAACATCGATAATGGCCAACATCGATGTTTTGAGTGGGATAAACATCGAACATCGTTGTTTTGAGTAGGATAAACATCGAAAATCGATGTTGAGTTATCGATGTCAACATCGATGTTATCATCGATGTAATAATCGATGTTTCTGTAACATCGAACATCTCTACATTATGATTAACAATTTTTTTATAACTGGCTTTACGGCGCTGGGTTCTTGCCCTTCTGAGCCTGAAGTTACAATATATAATTATCCTTCATAGTAAACTGCTTTACAATATCGTACCCTGAGAAGAACAAAAGCAAAGTGTAAAAATTACATTTTACAGGAGAGCGAAAAAACTAGTTCTTTCTTAATATCTTTTTATTGAAGAATCTGCCAATTTCGGCTTTTTAATGAAAAATTACGTCAAAAAATACTGTTTTTGTTAATTAATCAAGCTAAAAGTAGAAGTTAATATTTAATTACTTTTAACTACTACTTAAATTACGCTACTCTTTATTAGCCTCTTTTTTTAAAAGAGCAATGTATGAAAAAATATTCGTGAATACATCACCATGGAATGGAATCTGTCTGAAAAGGAAGTAATATTATGCGTTTTTTCACTGAACTAATTTGTTGAATAATAAAAATAAGTATTCTTTATGCCTTTTTTCTGTTTGAAAAATATGAGAAGTACATGTGGTTAAAAACATTAACATCAAAAAAATTCCTGCTTTCCTATATATTAATAAAACTACGAGATTAGTACCTATACTTTCTGCGCTACAGTGTTCGGCACGGCTCTGAGCCTTACTGCTCGCCTCTGCTTCACGGCACTCTCGCAGATTACTTGTCTTCTTCTCGACTCACCGCAGACTTACAAGGCAATTCCCTGGCACTTGCAAATTCGTCAACATCTAGACTGCACTGTACGTAGTGTTACCAATGTAATAGTGGTGTATGGTGTCCACTATTAACAGACTCCGAGTGGTCTAGGAGCGGGGAAATGAAACTATCTTCTGATATACTTTCTGATGTATGAACAATTTATCAATAATCAGAACGAAAATCTTCTTCAAAACTAAAAAAACTCAACTAAAAAACTAAACTACAAAATATTTTTTAACCTATAAAAATATTTTGTAGTTCCTATAAATAAAAAAAAAATTGTTTAACCTAGGATTACTATGACAAACGAGCACACAGTCCACCTGATAGTAAGTGGTTGCTGTGGCCCATAGACATCTACATTTTCCTCGTTTGCGAATCAAAAATTTGTTGTCACCCGTGAGGACTAAGATGGAATGCCACTTTTCCAGTAAAACGGGTCTCCAGTTCTCTGCACTCACCATACGAAACGCAGCAGTGTTAAGCTGCTATTTTACGCTGGTATTCTGAGAGCGTGGTCCCTCCCCGGTCGAGCCGACCCATTCGTGCTACAACTATACTACTAATATAGCTGCAGCATGGCTCTACCGCGTATAAAACTAAAAATAATTACTGCCACAAATATGCAGTGCCATTTAACAATTTATTAGAACCAAAATATCAAGAAACGATAAATTTAGTAAACGATAGTTTTTTTAAACTAAGTTTGAACAAACATAAAATCGAAATATCATTAATATGAAATATGGGTTGAGTGGTAGAGAATGCCACAAGGCATTAATTCCGCCCTTTGTATTCTTTTAGATGAAAGAATACAATAAAGAATAAATAAATAAATATTGCCACAAATGTTCAGTAACATTTACATTGGATTAGAATGAAAATAAAATAAAACTATAAGTTTAAATAATCAAACGACAACCTGTTGATCTCAAAATTAATATACAAGACAAATCTTTTTTTTAAACTTGTGTAAACAAAAAAAAAGTAAAAAAATATTGCCATGACATTTCTGTTAAATAGTTTAAAAACAATAATTTTACCATAAGTTTTCTTCGTCTTTTTCCTAAAATATGGTTTCGTTTTTTTCTGACAATATTTTCAAAAATAATCTTTCGACTGGCGCGAAACTGACCATCACAGAGAGGTGTTTAAGAGCCAATTCGGTTGGTTTAGGGAAAGTTCCTTTAGAGCTTCTCCATATATTGAGGGCATCTGCCTTGAGATTTGATAGTGGTGCCGCAATATATAGGTCTAATTCAGCATTTTTGCCTATTGAAGTGTTGGCCGCTATTATTTTTTCATTATAAAATATTTCCTTCAGCCACTTTTAGGTGTTTGACAAGACATTTTTATTGTTTAACAAAGTCGGGAAAGGACGCCCTAGACGAAGAATTTTCGATCAAATCGGCGATACATTAAAAATGGGCCAGATTAGGTGTACCCTTAAGCGACGAGCGTGTATGCGTAAATATATGGATGTAAAGGAGGCGAGAAAGGTGTGTCAGGATCGCGCCAAATGGAAGTCTGTGGTCTCTGCCTACCCCTCTGGGTGACAGGCGTGAGTGTTTGTATTGTATTGTATTTACACTCTCCAAAGAAACAAAGAAAACCACAGAATACTTTTACTCCTAGCGGAGAAAGAAAACTGTTGAAAACATACGAAAGGCGAAACTGTACTAGAGATACATACAGGTGGCGCCGTCTCTTGATTGATTTGTTGATGTTGGTGAACTTACTTCGTGTTTTTTCATCCATCGCATTTAATCTATTTTTGTAATCAGATGACGCTGATTACAAAAATCAATTAAAACGCGTAATTTACATTAAAAATCGATTGTTATTATCAAAAAATCGACTTTTCAAGATCGATTATAAGAAAAAATAATTGATTAATATGAAAACCGATTATTTTTAACATCCCTAATTGATATCAGTTTCAGTTGAGTTGACGTTTTGACCTTTGTTTTGACTTATGAGATTATGAGACTGTTTTTTTGGGTCGTGTTTGGATTTGGGTTGGATTTCCAAATATTTTATAAACATTAAACACTGAAATACCCCTTTTTATAATTACTTTTTATATGACAAGCAGAGTTTTATAGCAACGCAATATGGCAACTAACGGCGGTTATAATATGGTTAGCTGGTTTTTAAATATTTTTAATCAGCAATATATTATACATTGGGCATACATATTTAATGAATAACATGCTTGAAATTTAACATGTCATACTTCAAATTCATAATCTCTTGAAACTCGTAGTCATTCTTTATGCCTTCAAAAGTATTCTGAAATTTCAAACCATAGAGAATTTGTACCTTTAAAATAATGCAATGTAAAAAAGAAAATAATACATTTATTCATAATATTTCAAGCATAAGTTTATTTGTTTCATCAATGTCCATTCACATTTTGTAAAAACATTTTAAGTTAAAAAAAACCCTTATTATGAATATCAGTGTACTAGTAGAAATATTTGAAGCTATCACTTTGATCTCAATTGCCTAACAGAAAACCATCATGAGAAGCTTGAAAAATGTCTGTTTGTCTCCTTTGAAAATATTTCTTTATTATATTAGATAATTCTCTTATATCATTAACATTGCAGACATTACGTCCATAAAATATCCATTACTGAATGTAGGTTTTATACGTGGTAGAACCATGCTGCAGCTATATTGTGGTTGCAGCACGAATGGGTCTGCTTGACCGGGGTAGGGCCATGCTCTCACAGAATACCAGCATAAAATAGTAGGTTAATGCTGTTGGGTTTCGTATCTGGTTCTAGAATCAGAGACCCTTTTTTACTGGAAAAGAGGCATTCCATCTCAGTCCTCAGGGGTGATAACACATTTGCATTTTGATTCTTAATTGAACTTAAATATGTCAGTAAGTTAAATGTCTATGGGCCAAGGCATGCACTTACCATCAGGTAGACTGTGTGCTTGTTTGTCACCCCTATTTTATTTAACAAAAAAGGTAATTAAGTAGAACATCATAATTTCATATTATATCTTAAATGTTTCATATATACATTTATTTATAAATTTCCTTTAGGATGCAATATCTCTTGTTACTTCCTCATCCTTATGAGTCTAGTTACAATACAATGCCATACATAATCTTCTGACATAAAAGTAATGATTTGGAACTCCCTGCAGATGAGAATTACTTAGCTTTAACAGTACATCACACAAAATGTAACTGTTAATTACTATAATGTCAAATGAAGGAAACAAATAAATATAACTTTAGGCTTTTGTTAGTCACCTCTTAGAATACCTATGGATGAGTTGGGAGTGATGTTTTCTTTTAACCAATCTCTACATGTTGTTTCATTCATCATGTGTATTATATTTTGCTACAATATTATCCATTCATACCATTTTGCACATAGTCACCATAACTTCTAGGTGAGAAAGTTAAGTAATATGTTATATATGCAGCACAAGTCTTGTGGACATTCTTGTAATGTTATAAAAAAGTGGCAGTGGGATATTACAAAAATGACTGGCCACAATGGCAATATTGATAAATATGCTGTACTTGTGCTGAATCGGCCAATATCACAAAGAACAAATTTTATTAAAAACTTTTGGAACAATGGTAAGTGTTTATGTATTTCATACCCTTTTTTTTCTGCCGACTTCCAAAAAGGAGACGGTATTCAATTCAACTGTATATTTTTTTTATGTGTTACCTCATAACTTTTTACTGGGTGAACCGATTTGGATGATTCTTTTTTTATTTGAAAGCTGGTACATCTCGTGTGGTCCCATATGAATTTGATCAAGGTCAGACCAATAGTTTTTGAGTTATTCTTAATAACTCATATTGAAGTCAGCTGTACAAAATTTTTAATTATTTATCTTTACATCTAAATAAAGTATAACATACATGACATACACTTGTTCAATTATGGGATTGATGTACTTGTTTGGTAAATTTTATTTATCTCTTATTAAACACTTGTTCTTATTTTATCATGGCTTTAATTAATCTGAATGATGTTTGGCAAATATTTTTTTTAATTAGAATTGGAATGAAAGGACATTTTATGACTTTTAAAAATAATAACATAGGTACATTGTTACAGCTTGGTGGTAATCAAAGGCACAACCATATAGGTATATATGGTTTCTGATTTCTCTACTTATTTTTTTTCTCGGGACTTGTGAATACTTGAATAGAGATTTCCTAGAAATCTATCTGTTAAACATATTCTCATATATATATATATATAGTCTCACTTTATCATAAAGCTTTATTTTTAACAACTACCTACCTTTCAGTATCTTCCTATAAACTTCAAATATTTTACATGGTAGAGCCATGCTGCAGCTATTTTGACCAGGGTAGGACCACGCTCTCACAGAATACCAGCGTAAAATAGCCGCATAATACTGCTGTGTTTCATATGGCGAGTGTAAGAGAACCAGAGACCCTTTTTACTGGAAACGAGGCATTCCATCTTAGTTCTTACGGGTGACAACACATTTATACTTTGATTCTTAATTGAGGATAGAAGTAGATGTATATTCTCAATTATATAAGGATAGACGTAGAGCCACTGCATCCACTTATCATCAGGTGGACTGTTTGTTTGTTTGTTACCCTTATACTATAAAAAATATATTTTTAAAGATAGGTATTATAAGATTTGACATACTTTTTAAAGGTAATAAGTATGAAGACTTATTCTGTTCTTATAAATATTGTTTCAGCTGTAGTGAAAGTAACTGTTGATGGTGGTACTACAAGATGGGATACATTTGTAAGCAAACTACCAGAAGATGATAAAGAGAACATCTTATTACCAGACCTTATTACTGGGGATTTTGATTCAATAACAGAAGAAATATTACAGAAATATAAAAAGAAAGGTTGTAAGGTGAAATTTAAACCTTATTGTATTCAAATGTCGTAATACATATTCTCTGTCCTATCATGAGCTTTTAATACATATCTTGTGCTTAATCAATTAATATATTAAATAATAGAATCAGGTGTTACTTTGTGGAAATACATTATATTAAAGTTGGTAAAAAATTGTTGTTTTCTGACCGCTAAGTTCAGCCACCACAGGGTCTACTTCACCTGAGGATGTCTTGTGTAGAGGCAAAACACGTGTCGTATTATCGTCGATGGTGTGTCTCCTAGTTTAGTGGTGTTGGAAGTAGTGGTGCTGGGATAAGTGGGGTCTGGGATAGTGCACGCAATTGAGAGAGGGCGGGAGGTGCTTTTCAAACTAGTTAAGACATCATTTTATTTAATTGAGCTTATGAGGGAAAAATAATTTTTATCAACTTTAAAATTAATATCATGTTTCAACTTCTTTATAATAAATGCTTTTAGTTTATCATTTTTGTTTTTACAATTTATATTAATGAGAGTCAAACAAAGCTATTTACATCTTTAAGTTTGCTCTTCGTATTTAAAAAATCATAATTTTTATGTTTAGTTTTTTTTAGAACTGAAATGACAAACAAGCTTGCAGTCCACCTGATGGTGATTATTTTTTTTCTGTAACCACCGTGGTCGTTATATCACTACCAGAAGGTTGATTGGCAGTGAACTCTTTACGATTGAATCCGGCATTCTTCTTATAAATTGAGTAAGATTCAATAAAGAATAAATGAATAAATAGTAGTCTGTGGACACCTGCAGTCAACTTTATACAAATTAAGCTACAGATGCTTTGTCACCCCTAAATACTAAGATGGTATGCCTCACAATCTATAATAAGGTCATCCACTAGTTTTTCTGCCAACAGGCCGGCATCACTTAAAGTGAGGTATAATATTTGACAGATTTTATAGCGGGGAAGTTAATTTGTTCGGAAAATGTAAAGGTTAATGCTTCTTTCTGTACTTTTAAATAAATAAACCAAAGCACAAATATTCATAAAAGTAGAAAAATTAAAAAAAGTTTAAAATGTGCAAGAAATTAAAGAGCAAACCAGGCATGAGGCATTGTTTTGTGTATTAATATAATACTCTAGATACTGATAAACTTTTATTTAAAACTAACTTCTTAATTAAATGACATTGTGTAACAAAAAACTTTACATCAGTGTCAACTAGTGACATCTGGTGAGTAGAAAATGATTAGCCCTCATTATAATGGCTCTCAATACTATTCAGATTGGAAATATGTAAGCACTACTTTATGGCGGCAGAAATAGGTAAGAGGATGGAGCTACCCAGATAAACTCCTTGGCAGAAAAAGGTTCCTACCACCTAGAATGATTAAAAATCATAAAATTTTCATCATGTGACTAATGTTATACACAGTATGCGGTTTGTGAATTTAAGTAAGTATATGATTTGGGAAACTATTTAATATTATTATTTTTCTTTTTAGATCATACATACTCCAGATCAAAACCACACAGATTTTACAAAGGCTTTGATGGAGTTAAATAATTATTGCTCGGGACATAAACTGAATGTAAGTAAAATTTATGTATATGTGGTATGCTATTACTTTGCTATGCTTATTATGGTCGTAGTATGAATGGGTTGGCTCCATTGGGGAAGGACCAAGCTATCACAGAATATAAGCGTAAAATACCAATTTAATGCTACTGTGTTTTTTTAGTGATTGTAGAGAAATGCAAGACCTTTTTACTGGAAACTAGACATTCCATCTCATTCCTGAGGGGTGATAATGCATCTGCATTTTAATTATTCTTAATCAAGGATAGATGTAGGTGTCTATGAACCACAGCATAAAATTAACATCAGGTGAAATGTGTGCTCCTTTGTCACCCTTATTCTATAAAAAAAAACAACATATGTACATTTCACACGCAACACCTTCAAAAAAGGAGACTAAGATAATAAGAAACACTATAACCATGTAGTGGCGGTGTAAGATTAACCACTTGCCCATATCGTCCCATGGGTTTTGTTGAGACGACTGAGGGAAACTAACCAGGATGGGCAGCAGTGTCGTCCTAATAACAACTAAAAAACAAAAAACTGCAGTTACGTGTGGAAACCTGCATGTCTGAGAAATAAGAAAAAAAATATTTTCGAAGGCATGATTCGCATTCGCCAACACGCTTTGGCGCAGCGCGGCAGACATTTCCTTGCCCTAAAACCCTCTCAGAAATAAGAGAAGACCTGTGCCCAGTAGTGGTAACGCTGCATCACTAGCTTCTGTTTTGCTATGCAGGGTGCAGCACATGCAGGTTAGGTTAGCATTTGAATGAAAAGATTACACAATCCCCCTTTCACCCCTTGGTTACATAATTTAAGTTAAATAACTATATTTTATATTTCTTCTAGATAGACCATGCTGTGGCCATAGCTCAAGCTTCAGGAAGAATTGATCAAATCTTGGGAAATGTGCAGACTTTATACCTTGCAAAACAGAAGCACTTGCTAAATTTTACTACTAATGTTTATGTTTTATCAGATGATGCAATGTCATGGCTCCTGTTTCCAGGGGATCATATAATTTTTGTTCCTGAAGAGACAAGGAAACATGAGAAGTCTTGGTGCTCTTTGATACCTATGGGGGAAATCTGTGAAAGTGTTACAACCACTGGCCTCAAATGGAACTTAGGTATTGTGCATTATTTTTGATTATTTTAACTTAATTTCAGTATTATTAAAAAAAAACATGCGTGAGTGTCGTGGAACACTCGGTTGGAACGAATTTCCTTTCGTAGTATGTATATTATTATTGATAAACGTATTATATTATTGATTAACAAATACAAATAAATGAATTACTAGCGTTTATTAAAATGAAGCGTCATTTTTTTATAGGAGAGGGGGCAAACGAGCATGCGGCACACCTGATGGTAAGTGACTACCGCCGCCCATGAACAACTGCAACACCAGGGAGGGAATTGCAGATGCGTTGCCGGCCTTTTAAAAAGGAATACGCTCTTTTCTTGAAGGTCCCTAAGTCGTATCTGTCCGGAAAAATCGCTGATGGTAATAGATTCCACAAGGAAGTCGTGCGAGGAAGAAAACATCTTCTAAATCGCACAGTGGTGGACCGCCAATCATCCAGATGGTGTGGATGGTATCGGGAGTTCAGCCGCGATGTGCGTTCGTGAAATTTGGCGGCTGGGATTAATCCGAACAATTCCTCAGTTCCTCCTTCATTTAAAAGTGCAAGGGAGATGGATATTATTCCATCTCGCTTCCTTATAGCCGCCAAGGCCGTCTACACTACGTCAGAAGGGGTCTTGACGGAAAAATCTTACACTTTTGTCGCCTAGCCCTCATCCGTCAAATCCGTACCGTCCGATACAGAACTTCGTTCCAAAAACATTTAACAGAATGTAGTGGTGATAATAAAATTAATTATCCCATATTCTTATGTACGTGTTGTAAGAGACGACTTAGTTAAATGTTCAGATTATCTTGTGGCCCAATAGATATCAGTTGCCTGGCTCATTGGTCCAGTGGTATACAAGTGCGACTGCTGGTCATGTGGTTCGATTCCCGGGTTGGGCCAAAATGAGTCGGAAAGCACGTAACGTCTTTAGTTCTGCGCCTGATCTCTCCAGTCGTGCCGGATTACCGTCATCTGTGCTTGCCCACACACTTATACACTTCCACGCTCACATGCTCACACTGTCCTGAGCAGAAGACTAATCTCCGTTGAGTTTTGCCGCCGCGCCGGGACCGAAATTCGGTGTGGAAAACTATACTTAGATATTAAAGTAATATTGTGTAGGACATCCGGTGGTACTATCACTAATCTGCCTGGCAAACATGATTTTTTTTTAATAGAATAGGGTGACAAACGAGCACATAGTCCACCTGATGATAAGTGGTTGCTGTGACCCATAGACATCTACATTTATTTTCAATAAAGAATGAAAATGCAGATGCGTCGTCACCCGTGAGGTCTAAGATGGAATGCCTATTTTCCAGTAAAATGGGTCTTCGGTTCTCTACACTCACCATACGAAACACAGCAGTGTTAAGCTGCTATTTTACTCTGGTATTCTGTGAGAGCGTGGTCCTTCCCCGGTCGAGCCAACCCATTCGTGCTACAACTATATATGATTTAAATAAGGGATAATTTATTGGCATAGTTAACTTATTAAAGGAAAATATGTTTATAGCACAACAGTGAAATTAATGATAATATGTAAATTAAAAAGTGTTGTCAAAAATTTATTACTTACCTATATCTTAATTTAATGCTAATTATTATCTCGTTTAAATTATTTTTACTATGGTGTAAAGGGCTAGTTTTACTATGGTGTTGTTTAAAATGGGCCTTATTAGGCATATCATTAGGCAAAAACAATTTGTCCAAATTCAATTTTATTTAGAAAGTCACTTTAAATGAACGGTCTCCGATATTACTGAAGGACTAGCTGGTCGACCTTTCTTACTACTATCAGTGTATGTGCGTAAAAATATATCGATTTTTCATCCTAATCGTCAATTTTATTTTTACTTACACCGTATGTATATGATTTTTACAACAGAAGAAGCAATTAAAACTAAAATTATTGTTTATAGTCCTATTATTCGCAGTGTAGGCTCATGAACACTCGCTGCGTTACTTAGCTGAATATCTGTTGCACGCCTCATAACGCGAATCGTTATTAGGTAGTTGTTTACTCTCGACACGTTAAGGTCAAGCAATTTTTTGTTCTTAAAATGCATATCATAACCATATTGCGCTTATACGATAATATGAGTAACCGTTTATTAAGAAAATATTAATTAATCCATCTTATATTATCTAAAAAATCATTATAAATTGCTACTTTGAGAAAAAAAAACGATTTGAAAAAAATTTACGTGGACCTCCGGATGTTGGTTTTGTATGTGGTCGCGATAACTCCCGAAATAATTAACCTAACGAGACCGCGTTTTTTTCTTAGCTTCGAAATTACATCAACTCGTTTCCTATTTCACAGGCCTAGTACGCGTAGTTTGTTAATAAAATTATTTTCAACTTTTATAAGTTCTATTGCTATAAAAAATTTAAAGGCGCTTTCATATAATATAGTGAAGTAATACCTTTATTTAAATCTGGTAGTACATTGGACCCCGCTAATTTTGGACCTATTTCTGTACTGTACTATACCAATTTTCACTGTACGAACTTTCAGTAAAATTTTTGAAAAAATAGTTTTAGATCAATTGTTAATTTTCTTTAATGAAAATAAAATACTCTATAAAAATCAATTTGACTTCACAAGGGGTCGCCCGACAACTGACGAAGGTGTTGAGGTTATAAAATATATTTTCAATGCCTGAAAGAATTCACAAGATGGCTTAGGTATTTTTTGTGATATTTCCAAGGCTTTCGATTGTGTTTATCATGAGATATTAATCAGGTAACTACAACATTACGATATCAAAAATATTTCGCTCAGGCTTATTATTTCATATTTAAATAACAGAACTCAAAAAGTCGTTATCAATGATAAAGGTTCCTCCTGATTGGTATTATCAATGGGCGTTCCTTAGGGCTCGATTCTTGGCCCATTCCTTTTCTTAATCTATATTAATGAGTTACCTTCTCTTGTAGGGGACACTCACGATATAGTATTGTTTGCTGATGATACCTCTTTAATTTTCAAACTCAAACGATAGTTAATTAATTTTGACAATGTAAATAAGGCTCTATAGAAATTAGTACATTGGTTTAACGCCATCAATTCACTCTTAAACGGTAATAAGACAAAATGTGTTAAATTTACATTATCTAATGTTAAACATTCAAATACCAATGTGCTCTTAAATGGGGAGGAGTTGAGTCTTGTGGATACCACTGTTTTAGTTGGTATTTACTATTGAAGCGAAGTTTCAATGGGGCCCCATATATCTAAATTAGCAGGCATACTTAGTTCTGCAGCATAAGCTGTAAGAAAGATTAGAAGTCTCACCAATGCAATGTTGAGATAGCTAGATTAGTTAATTTTAGTTACTTTCAAAGCGTGATGTCTTATGGAATTTTGCTATGGGGTAATGCGACTGACATTGAAGCCATATTTATTTTGGAAAAGAGAGCCATACGGGCGATTTGTAACTTAAATTGTAATTATAGAAAAATTTAAAGAAATAAACATATTAACGTAATATATTTATGAAAATTTAATGTATGTACATAAAAACATAAATAGCTTTGATAAGAATAAATATGTTCATACTTTAAACACTAGGAACAACACACTAGACTCCAGAGAATTAGTTATTATCGGGCAATGTATACGCTTTTACAACAAAATCCCAGAAGATGTACCAAAATTTGTCAATAAACAAGTTTAAATGTTTTATTAAAGAAAAATTGTACGAAAAGGGTTATTATAATATCAAAGAATACATAAATGATAATAATGATGATTCTATTAGAATTCTTTTAAAAATTGTACAAACAAAATTGTTGTAAAGTGAAATATGTTTAAAATAAAATCCCACTGGATTTCTTGCTGGTTTTTCCCAAGACAGAAGTATTTTCCGAACCAGTGGTAAATAAAAAATGACTATAAGTAATATGTAATAAAAATTATTCTATTCTATATTTTTTTTAGCCCTTGATAGACAAAGGACAAATCTAACATACAGCCCAGAAAAAAATACGCTTTTGTCACCAGCGGTCACGACAGGTTACTATTCCTTCAAAAACTTCTCTATGGAAAAACGCACACATAATACTACCTTAACTTGTCATCAGGAAAATGTTACAGACCACCCCCTGTTTCATTTCCCTTTGTTGTCTCTTACTACACCCACGGGATGATATGAGGTATTTGAGTGGAAGTATTTATTGAACCATTTTCTTATTTTCAGATAATGCATCACTCAAGTTTGGTGAAGTAGTCAGTACCTCTAACACATTTGATGGGTCGGAGAAAGTAACTATTAAATGTAGTAACACAATTCTTTGGTCTATGAAAGTTCCTAGTATCTGTGAGTATACCTTCATTTTCCAATCAGTAGTTTAAAAAAATCTGTTTTTTTTTTAAATGTAATATTAAGGTCTAAAAATGGATATGAACCGTTTATATTTTTTATTTGTATAAGTAGACTTAGTTGGTAATTTTAGGTCTAAACCGAGGGTTAACATACGTAATTTTTTAGCATTTGGTTATTTAAGTAATTGTAGTAGAATCATGTTAAGCCGGTTCTATACACGCGCTACAGATACCAGAGAAAGGATACGAAGATAAATGAACAAAAGTTCCACATTTTTCCATGTTTTGATCTGTGTGACTAATTAAGCGTATATGAATCGCGAAGACGTCGCGATCGCAAGGCATTTACATTTGAAGCGTGACACTTTATTATCAGGCCTGTCTTAACTCCGCGCTTTAGGCATAAAAATATACCTACGCTGACCGGCCGCTTATAAGAGGCTAATTCAGTGAGGTAACAAAAATGTAGTTTTCCGTTATAAGTATTTAGGCATTTTTTATATTTTGAGTTTTTATTTAAGTATGGCCACTCAAAAAACTTAAAAGGTACTGCATAGCATACGGATGCTTAAATAACAATAGGAATGTCGACTTTTCATTAAATTTAATTTAAAACTGTTGTCAGTTTTAATTAAAAATAACGTAACATCATCATCATCAGCATAAATATTGACCTACTGCTAGGACGCAGGGCTCTCTTTGTACGAAGGGAGTTTGAACATTAGTCGACCACGCAGCCCAATGCCGGTTTTTAGACGAATTACTAGATAATCAGTACTTCTTTATATTCCCTTAGTCGCCTTTTACAACACCCACAGAGAGACATGGGTTGATACTATTTACTCTACCGGCATCACACAACACGTAATAGTAATAAAGTATAAATAGGTAATAGCTAGTAGGTAATACCTTTAACCTACCTTACATTGAACAAGAATGTTCTTATTATCGGTAAATTACTGATACTTTGCATATCACCTCGGTACTAACTAATATCAAAGGATTTGATTTGTTTCCTCACAACACCTAACCCTACGACCTTAATACGCCTTATAACGCCTTAAGGCATCTAACGGGCTAAGTGATACAAACTCTCGCACGCGGACGTAAAGTGCATTTTGATTTACAACGCGCGCCGCAACCATCGGTAGGCTATTTTAACGAAGGTCGCATCCGAGGTGTGCAAGGTAGTATGAACATTAGCGACTTCGTAACCAAGTTTAAACTCGCCAGTTTGCTATCAGAGAGTGATTCTTATGTACTTATACTATTATCTATTCTGTGGTATTATCCTGTTGAGGGAAGATAATAAAATAAAGAAATTATCATGTTCCTCAGGGGTGAGCATCTGCATTCTTAATTGGGAATACACGTAGATATCTACGGGCCGCAGCATCCACTTACCATCAGGTCGACTGTGTGCTCGTTTTTCACCCTTATTCCTTAAAAAAGTCCATATATAGGAGAAAACGCCAATGAATTATAGGCATGGCCAGCCATACAATGTCTCAATACAGGAACATAACCATGCATCAATCTTGCTTTATCTATCCTATTGTAGCAACAGATTCCGTCAAGACTTTGCTCTAGTTAGGTTGAAATTACTATCAATAAACATTTAAAGCTTACTTAGACTTAAAACGTTCTGCCGTTTTTCATCATGCTTATGACTGTGTTTTTGTAAAGAATATTAGGTTGACGGTTTTGTAGCTTCTCATGTGCTATCTTATCTTGTCGTGCAACTTGTGAAACAACTTGACTGATTAATATCATATTCATAAAAAATTATATGTGCTTTGTTGAGACAATGGTTCATAGCCATACTAGGATCCGATGTCCGACGGGTGACGCTGTAGTCCAGTTATTAACAAGAAGCTGTGTCTATGGACCAAAATGATTATACAATATTATTATGTTTATTTAGTATTCTTCTTCTAGTGTCCCTTAGGTGGCACTTTGGTCGAATTGTGTATAACTTTTATATTACACTGTAGAAAGTCCGGAGTCAATTCGGAGTGAAACTTATCATACCACCTACGGGGAAAGGCACAACAACGTCTGCGGCGCCAGCTAGTCAATCTATATTATGTACCTATATAGATATTCTAAACAGCATGAATCATCAGACTATTTGGACATTAAATTGTATTAATTTTGTTTCAGGTAGTTAAAGAAAATAGTGATGAATTAACAACTAGAACAATATCGTGAACTAAATATTTTTACGTAAATATAACAATAATTTATAATTTTTTGTAATTAGTTTCTGTATGTATTTTGTAATACTATGCGCAAATGATAAAAGTGGGATCAGGTTTAAATACAACATCACGTTCTAGACATTTCTACAGTACCGCCATGATTCGCCGCTAATTTAAAATTAGTTATTTATTAGTGAAAGTAAAGTTACAGTCTATACAATATGTAACAAAAACCCTGTGGTTCCCGTTAAGTACGTTATCAGGATCATTATTCAAACGTATAGCAATAACTTTTTTAAAAAAAATTTATTTAAAAAAAATAATTGTATGCAAGTTGTATGTGGTTTTATTACCTCTGCATTGTCTGGGGAGTAAGAGGATTGTCAAAGACCCCGTTTTACATAGCTTTAGCATCGGCTAGTGTCAGTAAGAGGTAATAAAACCACATAAAATTAAAAAATAAATTATACAATAAAAAAGAAATATGGTCGAGTTTTTAAAAAAAAGTTATTTCCATACGTTTGAATAATGATCCTGATAACGTACTTAACGGAAACCAGAGGGTTTTTGTTACATATTGTATATAAATTTTTGCACACTTCACAACTTGAAGTTGGTGTGCAATACAAAAATTTCGTTTGACTCTTCGTTGATTCTTCACCTACTGCCCACAACACTGTTACCTTTATAAAAGTAGTATTTTATTATCTAGTACATATAGATGTGACTTATGTATTTTTTTTAAATCTAACTTATTGATTTATTACACAATCTTTTTTTAAACCTAGCATTTAGTATAATAGTTGACGTAATAATGGTATATATTGGTAGTTACCTGATATATTGCATGTCGGCAGCCTAAAAGAATCCATCAACCCATTTTAACCATCTTCAAAAAAAGAGGAGGTACTCAATTCGACTGTATTTTTTAATGTGTGGTACCTCAGAACTTTTTTCTAGGTGAACCAATTTTGAGGATTCTTTTTTATTTGAAAGCTAGTGCTTCTCATGTGGTCCCATTTGAACAAGATCTGACCAGTAATTTTCGAGTTATCCTTAATAATGCGTATTTAATTGACGTCGACTACATTGATGATGTTCTCATTTTCTTTATATTCAAGTCGGTTGTACAAATTTTTTATTCTACCACTTGTCTTGTATGGATTTCATAAGATCATATTACTCGTTATTTAAGATAGTTTATATTATTTGTTTTTATTTTCATAAGATTAATTGCATGCTAGAAACTTTTTACCCCTTTTTAGACTGAGATTTGGCGGAGTTAAAGTTAGTAAGGAGAAGGAACAAGCAGAAAACTACAATTTATATATAGTATGTGTTACAAATACATCATCAAAATAAAATTATAAATACGTTGTTTATTTTCATACTTGCTAATGTCAAACAATTGTCGCTTAGATAAATTCATTCGTTTGTTGAAGTTCGTACTGCCAATGTCTTAGAGTAAGTACACAAACACTTAATAGTCTATGGTCAAACAACCGCACAGAGTGGATAATGACCAAAGAGTGTTTATTTAATATGTTGTATATTAGATACTTGTGTTTTATATTTTAATGTGCACTTACGGTCGAATTTCGACTATTAAGCGACCTGTGGTAAAATATAAATATATATCACAAACATCACCCACCCATCTTTAAATTTTTTAGTTCTTAGATTTTTGAATTAAAATAGTACATTCCTACAATTATATATTATATTAAGTTAAATTAAATCGACAAAATTATATTTTAACCCTTAATTTGGCAGGATTGTTTTTTTATTTAATTACTGTTATTTCAATTTATTTTACTACATTGCGTGTAAGTAAAAGGGAAAAAATATAAATTAAAATAACGAGGCGTGCATTTTTTTTAGAAATGTTTGGCATAATATAGTACACATATACTGATGTTCAAAAAAGATGCGCTTTAAACTTTGGTATAATATACTATACATATCTAACTCACAGATCGAATGAAAGAGATTATCAAAAGTTAATCATTATGTAAATTATAAAAGCAGTTTCGCTTATTTAGGATAAAACAAAGTCTAAGTTGACATTTGGTACAAAAAACATTTGTTTGCCCTTTTTTATAATACGCGCATATACTTAACGCCCATAAGTGGTACCGGCTTGCTCATGGCTAACTGTATCACGACGGGCCGATATTGTCGCAGGGCCGGCAGAAATCTTCTGGACGAAGATATGCACGGTACTTCGACTGTCAAAGAGGGTTTTCCAAATTTTATTTTTTATAATAAGTTTTTATAGCCGGGATGGATGTTTTGACTGTTGAGGGGTTAGTCAATCCGAGGGCCACGGCTAATTAAAAATGTTTGTTCTAGGGCATGGTTCAAGGACAATAGTCAAATGACGGATTCGACCTACGAAATTTAGATCTGCAGTCTGTGCCCTTGTCCTTTACGCGATTGTCGCTTTAAGACAGTAATAATTTACATAATCATTATATTTATAATATTATTATATAAGGTACTATAACGTCTTTTCAAATAGAAATATGTGCAGTAAAAAGTTTTATTTCTTGCACACATTTACTAAAAGTTTGATATGTGGTGACATATTGCTACGCCGTTTTATTTGTAAAATTACTTATTTTTATTAGAAAAGTTGTCTGACATTAAATGATTTTGGGAACAGTTTAAGCTTATTTCATTTATTCATGTAATGTAAGAAGTCCGAAGTAAATTTTAAAAGTGTCGGTCGTATTGTTTTCAACACGACTTGTGTGTGATAAGAATAAGATCATTATCGAAAATCATAATTTTATTTATTTAAAGAAATAATGCAACAAAATACTGCAAGAATATAAAATTTATAAGAATTTAAAATGTAAATATATTTATTAATTGCATTTTTAGATTGATATCTGCACATTCTACACAACATATATTTGAAGCTTGTGGGCAATGTGAAATATCAGTTCTATTCTTATCGTGCGCTCATAGTATTAGGATTGTAAAATAGTTTTATTCAGACATTTTTTGTATATTTGGGTAGTTGACGCCATCTTTGATAAGTTACTACGGCTATGTTCTGATATACACTGTGACCACTGTAAGGTGTGATGTCAATTCAGTATACTGTGAAGCCGTTCCTTTTTAGTTTGCTATACTGGTTACTGTTTAAAACGGAACGCAGTCCAGTATACTGTCATCCCCATTTTTGACACCTTTTTTCAAATGAAAATATTTATCATGTACATGTTTTCTGTTTAACAAGAATAATTATCATTTGAATGTTGTTGCTTCTAAAACTGAATGTCCGAGTTTATTTGAATAACAAGATTAATTAATAATAATAATTCCTGGAAGCTGATAAATCACTAGGCGCCATTGCTCACAGTAGAAAAATTAAAAAAGGCGGCTATTTATGATCATATATTTCCCTAAGGTACTGCGGCAGTATACTGGCATAACGGAACGAATTTTTCACCAGTGAGAGCACTGAGCAGTGCCCGCAGTGTATATCGGAACAAAATATAAATTATATATGATATAGGGTATATATCATATAATTTATTATATTTTAATATACAATGTGTCTGGTCACCGGTGTCGGAGACTGGAGGGGTAAAACACGGTAAATTTTATCGGCAAACCACTGTCCCTACTTTTATTCTCTCTCCACGATGAAATGGCAGCCATTTTGTTTTTTTCCTCAAGGCACGGGTGCTTATACTATCACTACCCATGCAGAGGTCCTAGGAAGACGTAAGGCTCATTTGATAGCTAATAATGTAGACAATAAATAAATGATAACAATTTTGCCATTTATTTTTTATAAAAGAGTAAGACAGAATTTTTAAAACAAAAAAAGTTTTTTTTCACATTTTTTTATATTATTAGCTTTTTCAAAAAATCTAAACCGTCATGTTTTTTTTAAACGTTAGTTCAGAATGTGTGCTTAAAAATAAGTCTTACATCTTAGCCCTAAGTAAGATAGTTAAGAAGTTATGATGATTTAAACATGGTAGTGTTTCTAACCCTGGAGTAGAAAAAGAAAAATAAAACAAAATAAATCGATTACCATAATGGTTTTTTCTGTCAAAATAAATGCAAAAGTTACAGCCACGTTTTAAAATGTCATCTGTGGTGTTGCAAATAAGCTGTTTCTCTAATTGACACATGTTGTGTAGCGAATCGGATCGTGTCTTTGTCTCTCCTCAATTAATTCCCAACTTTTATAATTTTTTCAATAAGTTCCTCGCGTGTATTTGGCACGTCGACGTAATCTTTCTGCTTTATTGTGTCCCACAAGTAAAAATCAAGAGGGGTCAAGTCCGAGGAACGCGGTAGCCAACCGATTGTTCCACCTCGTCCAATCCACGTCGAATATCGTTTATTTAAATAGTTTCCTACATTTGCTGCAAAATGTGCCGGAGCTCCGCCCAGTTGTAGTATCATTCGTGACCTATAGGCTAATGGTATTTCCGTTAGTGCGTCTAGGTAATCAGTTTACAGGAACTCCAAACTTCTTGGGCCCAATCAGTATATCGTCGATCATTCCTGCCTGCACATTCACCGAGAATTGGTGCTGAAAAGTACTTTGTCTCACTGCATGAGGATTATCGTGGAGTCACAGATGTTCGTTGCGGTGGTGTGTGTACCCGATCGTGTGAAAGGGCCTTCGTCGAAACACATTTTTTTTAAATTTGGGTTAGATCGCACGTTTCTTGATATCCACGAACAAAAACTGACCTTCGTGCAACACATCTAGTTCAATTAATTCTTGCACTCTTCTAAAAATCTCTTCTTCTTCTTGCGGTGACACTAAACGAGTACGTTCGTTAGCGGGTCATCTAATACCATTTTCGGCGAGATTCAGGTATAATCTCATGAATGTGCGAGCATTCGGCATCGGTTTATTGGGAAATCTCGCATACTCTTTTACAGCAGCATTAGCGTTCCCGTTGTACAAACCATAGACGAAATGAATGTTAGCCACGTCCTGGCTCGAATCATGGACGTCTTCCATTTTAGTTAAGTTTCGTTAACTAAAAAACGATAACTGAGTCCACAACAAAACAAAAAGTCCAATAATGAAACAAAAATTTAACAAAAATGTTCAATAATAACAACGCACAATTTGTTGGCACTAGAGAGTGTAATCACAACGCGGGGCGAGGGACGACTGTCGAACTGTCGACCTGCCAGTGCGCCCTAATCTGAGCACAAGCGGTATTCTGTCTCACTCTTACCTAATAACACTTCCTTTTCTTACATGCTCTTACAAAACACAGCATTGTCTAAAGACACATCCTTGGAATTCCTCGCAACCGGGAATCTTGTTCTTTATTAACGGGATATTTAAGCTTTCAAGGGTCATATTCAAACCGTCATAACTTCTAAACTTTCTTAGTTAGGGCTAAGATGTAACTATGAATGAAAATCTCTTAATTTTAAGCACATATTCTGTACTAACGTTTAAAAACAAAAACATGTAGCTTGACAGTTTAGATTTTATGAAAAAGCTAATAATTAAAAAAAATGTTTAAAATAGTGTCTCTTGTTTTTCTATAAAAGAGAAATAGAAAATTGTTATCATTGATTTATTGTCTACATTATTAGCTATATAACGAGTCTTCTTTCGTCTTCCTAGGACCTTTACATGGGTAGCTATGGCTTAATCAGTACAACCCCGTGCCTCAAGGCAAAAAACAAAAAACAAAATGGCTGCCATTTCATCATGGAGAGAGAAAATAGGGGTAGTGATTTGTCGATAAAATTTACCGTATTTCACCCCCTAAAGTCTCCGACACCGATGACCAGACACATTGTATATAATAGCCCAAGTTGGAGAGCCACCGGTAGCAATAAATGGTTTTGTTACGGCCTACAGCTGCCCTTGCTGGTCGTCTTGGCTGGGGCCCATAGCAGCTTCTTCGACGGGCAGACGCAGGTCGGGCCTCAATATGGCCACGTGGAATATGTTCTATCACACTAAACTATATGGGAGCAAACTAGAAAGCAAAGGTATCAGGAGCTAACTTCGCTCCAAGACTTGGGCAGGCCGTGAGTGTGTGTAATGGTAGATAGCGAGTCGTGTACAGTGATGTGTGAATGTGTGGGGCCTTGGCAAGCATAGGCGACCAGCAGCGGCCGAGTTCCAGGCTGCTCCAAAATACTGCATCGCTCCAGACTGCTTCAGCGCTGGACCACTTCTTTCTTCACTGTCACTATTCAGTCTCTTAGCTTCATTGTACATTTAACTAACTTCAATTCGCCTAATTCCACACTCATCGCAGAGTTGAACACGTGATACCCGACACGGCAACAGACAATAGTTCAAAGTTCAATGTCCCGGATTCACTTATCACAAATTATAAATTCGACACAGAATAACACGTCGCACAAGATTCAAAATACGCCTCGTTGACACGCAAATTAATTTAACTAGGCAACCAAAACACGAAAAGGCACTAACGCGACGACCCAATCATAACGATATTCTGCCAATTAACCGGGAGAAGCTCTCAAACTAGGAATGCGCGGCTCGAATCCTAGACCGCATATCTACTCGACGCGCGTACACTATTCCGCACTCTCGCACGAGTTAAATCTCGCACAATTCACATATCTACGTGACGAAGAAGCACGTACTTCATCTAGCTATCTAGATCCACGACGGGCCGTGAATTTAGGTAAGAGGGCCTGACGGGCTCTCCGCCTCGTGGCTGACGGGGCACCGACCTTTCGGCCACGCGTCGAGCGACCGACTCCCAGCCGTACACCGCCGCCCCACCTGGCGGCGTTTTTTCACCTACATACTATCGGGTGACGCGACAGCTCGAACGCAATTGGAGGGCGTTCAACATGGCCAAATTTGGGCATAAACAGGTTTATTGAAATTTTAAATCTCAACTTAAATCTCAGCGCAGTCCATCACCATCTTGAGACTGCACCTACTTTTCTTAACGGAGACCCAAATTGAATGCCCATTGAATGTGGCGCGCCTTGACTATCGTGGATTCTCCCTGGAGCATAAATTCAATCTACGTGCCGGAGTCTGCGTGTACGTCCGCAATGGCATCTGCATCCAGCGTCTCCGTCACCTTGAAAACCCCACTTTTTAGACAATCTGGGTGATGGTAGATACAGTTATTGATAAAATCCTTTATGCCTGTGTCTATCGATCGCACAGCGGTAACCAGGAGACAACACGATTATTTGATCACTTTAGTGAGGCTGCTGATGTGGCACTAAATCGGTATCCTACTGCACAGTTGGTCTTTCTGGGGGACTTTAACGCCTGTCATCAAGACTGGCTGTTCCCATACCAGAAGACCGACCATGCTGGAAGAGAAGCGTGGAATTTTGCCTTGACGCTAGGTCTTTCTCAGCTGGTAAAGGAAGCGACTAGGGTACCTGATGTGGACGGTCACACAGCCAATTGCTTGGACCTTCTGCTGACTACCGAACCAGACAGGTATGAAGTACAGGTTACCTCCCCTTTGGGTACATCTGACCACTGTCTGATGAAATCTGTATCGTCATATTCTCCACCTGATTACGAATCCCAAGTTGTTCGACGAATATGATGATATAAGTCAACTGATTGGTATGAGATGCGACACTTTTTCGCATCCTATCCTTGGCGGGAGGTCGGTTTCTCTTCTGTGGATCGTCGAGTTATGCGGATG